TTGTTTTATTAGGTGTAGGACAATAAGACTGGTTTTAACTGAGTCTATATATGAAATGCATAGATCTAACACCTCTAGAATAGCAACTGGTGGAATGAAGAGCTATTAATTTGAAGATCTCTCAGGCACATGCAAAGTGTCTTAAAGTCAATTTATAGAGATTATATAGGAAATCTGATTGAGTTTTCAATATGGGTTTTTACATTTATCTAATACTAGTGATGATAGTTCAACTGTATGTCTTCAAGTTCTCCTTTTTCAACTTAGTGATTGTCTGGGACAGGGCACCATGGACTCTGCCCTTCTCAAGATCCAGTCTGGAGTTCAGAAAGAGGAGTACATTCATTTCTCAAGGTTTTCTGAGATACTTTCTTTCTGCATCAGGCATGTTTTCTGGGTTATCCTGCAGACAGAGAGTCAGAGCTAACTTTCTACACTATGGGAATGCAAAGCAGTCTAAGTTGGGCAGGGGTAGAGATTCAACAATATCTGCCCACTGGGAGGTTTTCAATAGTGGAACCTCCTGTAGATTCCACAGATGTTGTTGGTGATTTCAGTCATTGTCTGCACTTGGAAGGTGGAAGTGTGACCACTGAATCATAATCCACAGCGTGTCTTCATAGTGCCCTGTTAAATGTCTGAGCTCCTCTTGTCGTCAGCATTGACATGGTAATCTTCCAGAAGATCAGAGCTGAGAGGCATACTCCTTCTTCACTGTCACTAATGCTCAGTGTACACATCTGCAGTTCAGGAGTTGGGGGTCTATGATTCTCCTTATGGCCAGGAACCTACAAGAAAAGACTGATAGTACACCCCTGAGAAGACTTGCAGAAGATTCATTCACCATCCATAGACCTGTTGCTTTTTAGATGACAGGTTTTTCTTTGGGAGATTCTTGATGTAATGAGGATGGGTCAATCTCCATTTTCATCCCATGTGACTTTTCTGAGGTAGTATTCAGTGTGGTCTCCTAGGAAGATCTTATTGAAGCTTGTCCTGGATTCCCTGCTATTGTCCTGTAAAAAGGATCTAGTATCAAGGAGGAGAAGCACTTTACCACCACCATTTGTGTACCTGGGCCCTGTGCTTCCTACCCCCCATACCCTTGGACACTCACCTAGATGTCACAGGATGCACATATGGTGAAAAGACCTTTGTCACAGAACATAACCAGCAGAACCTGGAGATCTGCGGAGAGAAAGGACGGTCAATTACAATTCTGCAGTTGAGCTCTGAGACTTCATATGACCCAGGCTGTTACCACAATTGTCATGGTATCTGAGTCAAAGTAATTAAAACAGTGTTCCAATCAGTCATGCACTCTCTAATAGAGCAAAGTACCCAACATCACTATGTCTCAGGTTCCTTCACTGGGGAGTAAACAGAACTGTGTGCTGAGAGCTTGCTTGCACAAACAATGATGCTTGAGGATCAGAGAAGGAAACTTGCCACTACTAACCACAGATATCTGTTCAGACAGTCAGATTGAGATAGCTGGGAAGACTATAAAAGGAGAAACATGAACTCACTCTCTTGTCTGGTAAGTTGCTAAGGAGGGAAGCTATGGCCATGGCTTGCTCCTTCTCTCTGTTATCTCAGCATTTTCCTCTTTACCTGACACTTGTTTTTTATTAATTAGACCAATTAAGATCGACAATTATGCTACTGAACAATGTTGGAATACTGTGTGTAAAGATGTGGGTACATATAGCTGGTTTTGACTCTCCTGATCCTGTATCTTCCATCAGACAGCCAGTCAGGAAGGAAGGGTTTTTTTGTTGTTGTTGTTTTTTAGGTTGGTATTATAACATTTATTAAAATAATGCTATGGGTTAATAGAAAGAGCACCAACTAATTAAAATGCAAGCTATGTAAAATCCCAACTAAAACCCAGAAGTGTCAAATGTATTCATTCATCAGCTAAATAAAAGCCAAAGAAAGACAAGACACCTGATATAATAAAGTACTGCAAAACAATTGGCAATTTTCAGTTTTCACAATTGTGGATTTTGCATTTTGTATCCTTTTCTCAATCAAGAAAAATATTCTTTTGAATGTGATATAACATACATATAAAACAAGATAGAAAAATACATTATAAACTTGTAACAATGGCTGAAAATACATTATCTTACATGTTTCTCATAGGATTGGGTTGGTTATGGTACATACATAGCAGGAAACTACTAAAATCATAAAGAATAGACAAAAAATACATGTCAGCTCTACGGTAACATACCAGCGATACTCCCATCTACCCATGCTAAAAAATTACATAATACTGTCAGGAAAAAGTCTTAAAAACTACATACTTTAATAGGAAAATAATTCAATAGTGATAATACAGAGAACAAAGGCATTCAGAGATTACAAAAGTCATGCTTTTTCAATTGACTCAAAACACTGCCAACTAAGTTTTTGAAAGTTTGTTCAGAGCCAGTATTACTCATAAATGTCACCTGTCTATTGTTTTACACATTTGTGTTATTCCCCATGAAAGACCTTTGATAAATACCTAAAATGTCCAGGTAAAACACAGCTGAGATGAGCCTGGATCAAATACTGGTACTGTGGGTTTTTGTTGTTGTTGTTGTTTTTTACTCTCACCTCAAGTGTTCTGAGAGTCCCAAAGTTATTCAACCAACCAAACAAAATAAAACTAAAAATGGCCCAGCATATATTGTAAACAAATCAAAATCACCAAGTGTGTAACAGAAAGACAAAGCAGTGGACATTAAACCAAAGCTGGCTGAGGACAAAACAAGGACTGTCTACTGCATAGTAAATAAACTGAAAATGTTTCCAAGTGAGATACAGTAATGGCGAGGTCACCATGAAGGTGCCCGAGGAGCTTCCCACTGACCTTGACTGT